CTTTTTCAAATAAAACGCACGGGAAAACTTAAGGCCTTCAACGGGTCTTTGGTAAGAACTTTGAAAATATTGTAATTATAACAAAGTAACACAAAATACATTTCAATTTAAAGTTTTTCGGTCTAGCCGAGAAGAACGAGGATTGAGGGAAGGAACGAAGGAGGGAGGAAAGTAGGGAGGAAAAGGGGGAAGGGAGGAGTTGAGAGTGAGAGAGAGAGAGAGAGAGGGGAGAGAGAAGAGAGAGAGAGGAGAGAGAGAGAGAGAGAGAGAGAAGAGGAGAGAGAGAGAGAGAGAGTTAGAGAGATGGAATAAGACCGATTGAGATAGATCGATAGACAGATAAAAAGAGACATAGAGATCACGGGAAAAAGTACAATTAACAGAAAGATAACGACACATACAGAAAGAAATTAAAGGGAAAGAGGCACATAAAGAAAAGAAAAACGGGAAAAAAAGACATAAAGCGATTAAAAAAAGAGGAAGATAAAAAAAAAGACAGAAAGACACACAAAAAGGAAAGACAAAGAAAAAGAGATAGCAGGATAGAAGGGAACAAAAACCGAGAGGTCGCTCCCTCGGTTAATATAAGAGTCAACATACTTGGCCAGCCTGAGCCTTGGGATCGATAACCCTTATTGATAATTAATGCTGCTCCACTTTATCCACTTCAAAAAAGTTATTCATAATCATCTTCAATATTAAACTGATAATAAAATTTGATGGACATTACCGCCAAGCAAAAAATAATGTTCATTGAGACAGATACTCACAAAGATATGGATATGTAATGAACTGTACTTGGAAGTAGAAAAAATTATCTAATCTTCAAAAATGGTTGAATATTTGACATCTCGTCCATTGCAGAAGAAATTAAGTTCCTGAGATAGGTAGGTAGACAGAAAAAGATAAGGAGGTAGATAGACGGACACAGAGATAAGTGGGAGATAGACAGGTAGATAGACAGGCAGAGAGAGATATAGAAGATAGAGAAGTATATAGACAATTACAGAGATAAGTAGGAGATAGACAGGCGCATAGAGAATAGAGAGATAGAGTGCGGAGAGAGACAGAGATAAGTAGGACAGGTAAATAGACAGACACAGAGATAAGTAGGAGATAGACATGTAGATAGACAGACACAGAGATAAGTAGGAGATAGACAGGTAGATAGACAGACACAAACAAGTAGGTGTAGTATGAGATAAATAGTGTAAGTTCAGATAAAGTATGAGATAAATAGTGTAAGTTCTATTTTGTGTTACTTATTTTTACCTCGTCTCAATTTCCGTCGTTTTTTTCTTTCTTTTTTAAGTCTTTTTAATGTCTTCATCTTTATCTATGTATGCGTGACGAACGGCAGTAAAGTCTTGTAATTAAGTATTAACGTGTAAATCTACCATCCGTTTTTTTCTATTTTTTTATATTTTTTCTGCTTTACTTCACACGGGTAATCTTCCTTATCATCCTTATCTCTCTCTTCTATCTCATTCTCTTTACCCCGCTTTGGCTATTAGAAACATCGCTGTAATTCCCTCTCACATAAACACTCCGTATTACCGTATTACATATTCTTAACATCATAACTATAAAAGAAAAAAGAAAAGAATCGAAAGCCATTGAAAATACTTTACCCTGATAAAAACCTTTTTATCCCCCTTAAACAGAGAGAGAATGTGAAAGAAGAAAAAAAGAGAGAGAGAGAGAGAGAGAGAGAGAGAGAGAGAGAGAGAGAGAGAGAGAGAGAGAGAGAAGAGAGAGAGAGAGAGAGAGGAGAGAAGAGAGAGAGCACAGAGCAGAAGGAATCCGTCAAAACAATACACTAAATTATTTACTTACTGTTCTTGAATTCATCATTAGGATCTGTTTCTTCTCCGTCTTCCATGTCATCATAGAGTTCCTGCGACGCAATGATGGTGAAGGAGAGGCTGAGAAGGATTGTGAAGATTGTGATGCTAGTCCAAGTTCTCCACAGCCTGACTTGTAACATTTTCAAGGGACGAAAAAGCGTTTATGAAGGGCCGCACACGTTTATTATTTATATTCTCTTCTTAATTATTTTTCTATATCTCTCTCTCTCTTATTTGGGTTATTTTTCTTTCTTAATTTTACTTATCCATCTATCTCTTTATTTCTCTTTCTCTCTGGATTCATTTATGTGTTGTTGTTTTTTCCTATTAAATATTACTTTTTTTCCTTCGATTTTTTTCTTTGCTTCTCTCTTTTTGCTTATTTCCACCTTTTTTCTCCTCTTCTCCCTTCCTTCTCTAAATGTATTCCTTCTGTATGTATTACTAAATCACGCTGATAATTTTAATGTCAAGTTTATCGCCGATTTAGATCTTACTCAACGTGAACAATTTTCTACGGTCTTCGTGAACAATTTCATCATCATTACTTCATCACACATGCCACCGGTCTTCCTTCTCACAATTCTCATTCTCTTTTCCTCTCTCCCTTTCTCTATTCCTTCTTCTCTTTCTTCCGAGCAGCACCGAGCATACCACAAAACCTGGATCGAGAGTACCAATATCCGGTGGGAAAAGTACCAGAAAAAAGGTATGCTTTACAACTATCCTTTCAATAATAAAAATGAAGCAACAAAAGATCTACGGGAGGAAATTATGCAAAATATACATAAACATATGTATACATGTATCTCAAAAGCCTCGAATGCTCGCCGGGAAAAAGTATGTTTGAGATACGAGAAGTTTTCCTCGACGAATCTTCCCGTTCCTGGGTCGAGGCGAAGGCGCCAGCGAGGGAGCGAGGCGCGCGGGAGAGCGGAGCGACACGTCCTCCCCTTCCGAAGGCTGAGCGAAAACTGAGATCAGGTTGAAGGGCACAATCGCGCGCTCACACACACACACGCACATACAGATACACGCACACACTCACGCACACACGCAACTTTTTCTCGCAGCGCATGCGTCGTGTGCACGCGGCGATGTCTTGATAACGACGTTCATTCTCTACTCATACAGAGGTACTTACGGGAGACATCTTATCCAAAGGCGTGATAAACATTTGATGAGCCGAGACCTCAACATGAAACCCAATCGCTCTTTTTCTCTCTCTCTTTTCCTCTCTCTCTCTCTCTCTCTCTCTCTCTCTCTCTCTCTCTCTCTCTCTCTCTCTCTCTCTCTCTCTCTCTCTCCTCTCTCTCTCTCCTCCTCTCTCTCCCTCCCTCCCTCCCTTCTCCTCTCTTTCCTTTTCTTCTATTTGTTTCTCTTCTCTTCTATTCTCCTCTCTTTTCTCTTTTTTTCCTTCGTCTCCTTCTTCCTTCTTCCTTCTTTTCTCCTTCTCTTCTTCTCTCTTCTCTCTCTCTCCTCTCTCTCCCACCTGCCCCGCCGGTCACTCTCTTTCGCTTTGAAAGGTGAGCGAGAGTTCCACCCGGTGTACCCCCCCCCTCCCCCCGCCCCGCGCCACTTCATGCACATCCCTACATGTGTGCAACGGCAATCAATCCTCCCCCCCTTCTCCCCCTCTTCCTCCCCTATTTCCCCTTCCTCTTTTCCCCTTCACCCCTCCCCTCCCCCTCCATCCCCTCCTTCCTACTCTACTCTCCCTTTTCTCCCTCTTTCTTCCCCTCCTCCTCCTCCTTCCCCTTCCGATTTCCCCTTGCGCGCTTCCCTTCCCTCGTTCCCTATCTTTCCTCTCTCCTTCCCCTCTCTTTCCCCGCTCTCTCCTGTCCTTCATTCTTTCTCTTTTACTTTCTCCCCTCTCCTCCTCTCCTTCTCTTTTCTCCTTCTCTTTTCTTATTTTCCTTCCCCTTCCACTAGTTTCCCATCCGTCGTCCCTTTTCTTCCCCTCCTTCCTTACCTCCTCTCCCCCTCCTTCTTCGCCTCCTTCGCCCCCTCCCTCTACTCTCCCCTTCTACCACCCCTTTCCCCTCCCTTGATCACCCCCCTCTCTTCCCCTCCCCCCTCTCACCTCTTTCCTCCCCTCCTTCCCCCTGCTCCTTCCCTCCTCGCACTTCTCTCCCCTCCCCCCCCTTTTTTTCCCTTTTTTCCCCCCTTCTTACCTCCTCCCCTTACTTCTTCCCCTCTCACTTCTCTCCCCGCCTTCCCTTCCCCTTCCCCCTTCCCCACTACCTCCCCATCCCAACCCCTTTCCCCTCCCTCGATCCCCCCCCCCCCCCCGCCATTCAAGCACCCGCCATCCCCTTCATCACTAAAAGCGAAGCACAACGTGTAGTCAGTCAGTAGCTTCCTTGGCCGGGGTGCGTGCTTGCTTGCGTCCGCCCTTCCTTCTTGTGCGTTTGCTTGCTTGCCGTTGCCTGTGTCTCTTTTCTCTCTGTGTCTCTGTCTGTTTCTCTCTCTCTCTGTTCTCTGTCTCTCTTCTCTCTCTCTCTCTCTCTCTCTCCTCTCTCTCTCCTCTCTCTCTCTCTCTCTCTCTCTCTCTCTCTCTCTCTCTCTCTCTCTCTCTATCTATCTATCTCTATCTATCTATCTATCTTTCCGTCTATTTCTCTCTTTCTGAGTAAAAAAAAAGGAAAAAAGTTGGTTTTTTTTTTTTGCTTTTTGCTTTTCTGTTTTCTATCTTTCTTACCTTCTTTCTTTTTCTTTCACTCTTTCCGTTTCGCTCTTTTTTTTTCTTTTTTTTTTACTTTTTCGTTTCCTTCTGCTTTACTGACAGCCTTATTTATTTCTCTTCTGTTTTTCTTATCTTTTATCTTTCTCTTCCCATCTATCTCGTTTTTCACCCGTTTTCTCGATTCTTTGCTCTCTCTTTCTTTCGTTCTTTTCTTTTCTTATTAATTTTATTCTCGTTTTCTTTTTATTTTTATCGTCCAAACCTTTTTTTTCTTTCTTTTCACTTTTCTTTTTCTCTGCCTTACACTCTTCTTTCTCTCCCCGTACTTGTATTTTTCTTTCTCTTTCTATTTCCTCTTCTGTCCGTTAGTTTCCCTCTTTTTCTGTTACTCCCTCTTTCTTTTTCTTTATCTCTTTTCTTTTTTCTTTTTCTTTAACTTTTCTTGTTACACCCTCTTCCTTTTTTCT